CGGGACCGGGCTGGAACAGGGACCGGAACCGGGGCCAGGGCCGGGCTGGGGCTGGAACCGGGACCGGGGCTGGGGCTGAGATCGGGGCTGCGCCGCGGCGGGAGCAGAGCCGGGGCTGGGACCGGATCCGGGACCGGGATCGGGATCGGGACTGGCGCTGGAACCAGGACCGGATCCGAGACCGGAGCTGGAACCGGGACCTGGGCTGGGGTTGGGGCTGGGACCGGGACCGGGGCTGCGCTGCCGGCGGCCCCGCGGCACCGGTCGGGCAGCGCTGGCACCGGCAGCGCGGGGGAGCGGAGCGGCCGGTCCTGCCCTGCCATCCCCTGCCTTCCTCTGCCCTGCCCACCCTCCTCCTCCGCGCCCTCCCCGCCGGCAGCGCCCTGAGCCCGGCGCGGCGATGGGCTGAGAGTGCCGGGCACGGCGGGGGCCCGGCGGCGGCAGGATGAGGGGGGGCTCGGAGGGCAGCGGGGAGGGCGAGGGGCTCTCGAGCCTGCGGGCCTTCGCCCACAGCTCCTCGCTGCACGGCATCAGCCACGTCTTCGCCTACGGGGCCGTGTCCCTGCGCCGCGTGCTCTGGGGCGGCTTCTTCCTGGGCTCGCTGGGGCTGCTGCTGCTCGTGTGCGCCGAGCGCGTCGCCTACTTCCTCACCTACCCCCACGTCACCAAGCTGGACGAGGTGGCCGCCCGCAACCTCACCTTCCCGGCCATCACCATCTGCAACCTCAACGAGTTCCGCTTCTCCAAAATCACCCGCAACGACATGTACCACGTGGGCGAGCTGCTGGCGCTGCTCAACGAGCGCTACGAGATCAGCAACCCGCAGCTGGCCGAGCCCCACGTCCTGGCTGCCCTGAGGGACAAGGCCAACTTCAAGAACTTCAAGGCGAAACCCTTCAGCATGGCCGAGTTCTACAACCGCACGGGCCACGACCTGGCCGAGATGCTGCTGCAGTGCACCTTCCGTGGCACCGGCTGCACCGCCCGCAACTTCACCGTGGTGAGTGCCCGGAGGGCGGGGCAGGGACCCCCGTGTGCCCCCGGGGCTGTGGAGGGACACGGGTGTCCCGCCAGGGTTGGCCACCCCTAGGTGAGCTCCTCCTCCCATCTCGATGCACGTGGGCACAGCGAGGATGGGGAGGGGACCCGCCGTGTGCCCCCGGGGCTGTGGAAGGACATGGGTGTCCTGCCGGGGTTGGGCATCGGCAGCTAAGCCCCTTCTTCCATCCCACTTCTGCATCTCACCACCTATGGCACCATCAGCCCCTGCCCACCTTCTTGGGCACTGCAGAGGGACCTGGGTGTCCTGCCAAGGTCAGGGACCTGTGGGTGAGCCCCTTCTCTGGCCGGCCGGTGCATCCCACCACCCACAACACCATCAGCCCCTGCCCACCCCTCTGGACACGGCAGCTGCCAGCCAGGGGTGTCCCTGCCCCGTGCGCTGCAGGGGTGCCAGGCGGCTGGGAACGCTGCCCAGGCTGGAGCACGGCTGTGCTGGGGGCTCTGTGCGAGGTGGGGGGCTCTGCTGGCATGCAGGTACTGGGATGGGGTGGCGGTGGGCGTGGGATGCTCATGGGTGTGGGGTGCTCACAGTTGTGGGGTGCTCACAGGTACAGCCCCCAGCTCCACTCCCCCGTTCCAGCTCCAGGTACCACCTGGGCACTGCCCGCAGCAGCCGCTGCCCTGGCTGTTGGCACAGAGGCTCCCAGGGGCAGCTCCTCCACACCTGGCACAGGTGGGGGTCCCTGTGCAAGCACTGGCCCCACCACTGCCCCCAGAGCAGGGCAGGGACAGTGGTACTAGCTGGGATCATGGCACATGACAGGCGGGGGCGGTGGGACGGGCGGTGAGGGTGGCACAGGCAGGACAGGTCCATCCCTCATGCTGCAGCAGTGTGCTGTGGATGCTGGGCAGCCTGTGCCCGCTGTGCCTCGTGCCCATCTCTGTTCCCAGCGATTACTGTCACCTTAATGCTCTTAGAGCACCAATTAATTCTCTGGAGCTCAGGGACAAGCTGCCCTTCAGCAGCTCCGTGCCCTCCCCATGGCCCCTGTGCCCCCCACCCTTGGCTGGAGCCACTCTGCTGGTGCCCCTGCAGCAGAGCCAGGTGCTGGCATTGGCTGCCAGGCTCGAGGGGCAGGACATATGGCTGGAGGGCCTAGTCCTGGATTGGGATCCTCTGCCCTGGGCTGTGGCACTGTGTCCCTGCGCCTCGTCCCACCCCATCCTCAGGGTCCCCGAGGTCCCCGGGCACGTGGCAAAGGCCCAAGGGCCATCAGGGTGGGCTGTGCCCCCTTCTTGCCTCCGCCAGGGCTGGTGGGATGGGGCAGGATGGCAGTGTGGGGACATGGGTCCAGGGATGGAACAGCAGAGAGTGGGAACAGCAGGTCCCCAGGGTGCAGGGCTGGGGGTCCCTGGGTGACCTGAGTGTGGGAAGCAGGAGGGCTGGAAGTGCCAGGGCCGTGTCCCAGTCCCTGTCCCCATCCATACCGTCCCCAGGCATCCCCATGCCGGGCAGTCGTTGCCATGACACCCGCCCCCCCCTTTCCTCCTTGGGCACCGTGTTACCATGGTGACAGGTCCCCACTTTGGGAGCAGCTCGTTGCCACAGCAACGCCCCCTCCCCCCATGGGACACTACAGGGGGGGCACCCATAGCGGGGGGTGTGTGACCCCAGGGGGCTGTATGGCAGGACTGGGGTCCATGGGGCCAGTCCTGGGGCCTCTGGATCGCTCCGGGAGCCCTGTCTGTGGATGCCAGTCCCTGAAGGCTCAAGGTCACCCTCTGCTCCCTGTCTGGGGTGCAGGTCCCCAGGGTTGCTGGGGTGGCTGGCCCAGGACAGGCTCTCAGGTTCTTAGGGGACACGGTGGCCTCTGCCACTGTGACTGAGTCCCTGTCTCCATCGCCATCCTGGCTTGTGCCCTCCCTGCTCAAGTGTCCCCATGTGTCCCCTGGAGCCTCACTGAAACCCAATATCCCTGCAGAGTCGCGGCAGCCCAGGCACAGGGCGGGCACTGTCACCGTTCTGGCCTTGTTCTGGGCCCTGGCGGGCTCTGGGATCCTGCCCGAGGCACTGGGACCCTGCGCTGTGTCCTGGAGAACACTGGGATCCCTCCCCAGGGCACTGGATCCTGCACTGGGTCCTGAGGGGCACTGGGACCTTGCCCTGTCCTCACAGGGTCCCCACAGCGTCACCCAGGGCCCCGTCCCCGTGTCCCCTGTGTCCCCGCAGATCTTCACACGCCTGGGGAAGTGCTACACGTTCAACCCGGGGGGGCCGGGGCGCGAGGTCCTGACCACGCTGCAGGGGGGCTCCGGCAACGGCCTCGAGCTCATGCTCAACGTGCAGCAGGAGGAATATCTGCCTGTCTGGGGGGACACAGGTGAGCCCCCTGCCCGTCTGGGGACACAGGCGAGCCCCCCCCGTGCGGCACCTGACCCCCGCCCCCCTGCCCTGCAGACGAGACGTCGTTCGAGGTGGGGGTGAAGGTGCAGATCCACAGCCAGGAGGAGCCGCCCTTCATCGACCAGCTGGGCTTTGGCGTCGCCCCCGGCTTCCAGACCTTCGTCTCCTGCCAGCAGCAGCGGGTATCCGGGCACGGCGCCCGGGGCTGGGCACGGACCCCCAAGGGATCAGGATGGACCCCCAGAGGGCTTGGGATGGGCCCCCAAAGGGCTTGAGGCAGCCTGGTGTGGGCACGCTGGGACACCCCGAGGCATAGGGACATCCTGGACCCCACCATGGGTACCACAACCATCCCCACAGGGACATCCCGTGCCCAGCTGTGCCATGAGTGCTGTGCCACCACGCTGGCCAGGAGCAGCACACGGTGTGGGGCAGCCCCACAGCAGGACCATGCGGCCCCTCCGCAGGCTCCGGCTCCGGCAGCGACCCCCTGGCTCCTGCGGAACAGCCGCCGGGGGGGTGGCAGCGCCCGGCCCCCGCAGCCAGACACCTAAATTTAGGTGCCTCGGGTGGGTGTCACCACGTGTGCCGGCGCGCGCGGCGCGGGCGGCAGGAGCACGGCGGCAGCAGGAGCGTGGCCCTGGCACCCACGGGTGGGGGTGCTGGGCCCCTCCCCAGGCACGATCCCCGCACGGCCGGCTCCTGTGAGCTCCCAGGTGCCACGTGCCAGCCCTCGCTGGCTCCTGCCCTTCCGCCGTGGCACCTGGTGCAGGTGACATTGCCTGCAACACCTGTCCTGCACCTGGCAGGGAGGGACAGAGTGGGATGGGGGCACGGAGGGTGCAGGACCGGGACCCCCCCAGCACTCACTGGCTGCACAGTGAGCACCGAGGGGAGCACGGGCGTCTGTGCCCACCCCCTGCCTGGCACGTCTGGCTCCCATGTGCTCCCAGTTGCCACGTGCCACCCTTGCTGTGGCACCTGGTAGAGGTGACGCTGCCCGCAACACCCATCCCCGAGGCCAGAAAGGAGAGCACAGGGTAGGAGGGGGGGCTCTGGGGTGGTAGGACCTCCCAGCACTGGCTGTGCGGGATAAGCTCTTCCTGCGGTGGGCCGGGAGGTGGCAGCGTGGCCAGGGACGACCCCGGGGACGACCCCAGGGGTGACACCGGGAACCCCGGGACGCCGTGTTTTCCTTAGCGGGCGCCCGGCAGCTCGTGTACCTGCCCCCCCCGTGGGGGGACTGCAAGGCCACCCCCATCGAGTCCGACTTCTTCACCAACTACAGCCTGACGGCGTGCCGCCTGGACTGCGAGACGCGCTACCTGGCCGAGAACTGCAACTGCCGCATGGTGCACATGCCGGGTGAGCGGGGGGGCGGCCGGGGGGCTGCGGGGGCTGCCGGGACCCCCCCCCGCCCCTGCGACCGCCGCCTCCCCCGCAGGCAACGCCAACGTCTGCACCCCGGAGCAGTACAAGGAGTGTGCTGACCCCGCGCTGGGTATGTACCCCCGGCCCCTCCACGGCCCCGGGCACCCCTGGGACCCCTCGCCCCCGCTGCGCCCCTATTGCCGCGAGCGTGGCTCTGGTGTCCCTGTGCCCTCTGTGCCCCCGTCGCTGCAGCCGTGGCTCCGGTGCGCCTGTGCCCTCACCAGGGTGGGGGTCACCGCTGTCCCCAGACACGCAGGGCTGGGTTCCCCCCATGTGCCACCCATTCTGTCCCCGAGTGTCCCCCTCCCCCGGCCGGGGATCCTGGGGCTCCCTGTCCCACCCGTGCCCCCCCAGACTTCCTGGTGACGAAGGACAGCGAGTACTGCGCGTGCCGCACGCCCTGTGCCATGGTGCGCTACGGCAAAGAGCTCTCCATGGTGAAGATCCCCAGCAAGGCCTCGGCCAAGTACCTGGCCAAGAAATTCAACAAGACAGAGCAGTACATCGCGTGAGTGACGCTGCCACCCCTGCCGCCGCTACCGTGTCACCCTCTGCCCCGCCAGCGCACCGTGTGGCACAGCGTGACAGTGTGACATGGCACAGCACGGCCACGCGGCATCCCCAGCATGTGAACTGGTGTGACATGGCACAGCGTGACGGTGTGACATGGCACACAGCATGAACCAGCACGGTGCGATACGGCATCCCCGGGAGCCGTGAACTGGCACAGCCCGGAGCGATGTGTGACATGGCATGGCCACAGGGTGTCCCCAGCGCTCGGGAACTGGCACAGCACGGCGTGACGGTGTGACATGGCACAGCACAGTGTGACGGTGTGACATGGCACAGCACAGTGTGACAGTGTGACATGGCACAGCCACACGGCATCTCCAGCACATGTGAGCTGGCCCAGCACGATGTGACGATGTGACACGGCCCAGTACGGCCACACAGTGTCCCCCAGCATACGTGCACTGCTGTGACATGGCACAGCCACACAGCGTCCCCAGCATGCGTAAGCTGGCACGGCACAGTGTGGTGGTGGGACACAGCATGGCACAGCCACATGGCATCGCCAGAGTCCCTGAACTGGCACAGCGCGGCACGGTGCGATGGTGGGACAAGGCATGGCCATATGTCCCCAGCACACATGAACTGCCCAGCACAGCACAGCACAGCACAGCCTACCCTGTGCAAATATGCCCCAGCAAAGGGAAAAACATGTGGCACTGCATGGCACAGCACAACATGGCATGGCACAGATGGCACCGCATGGCATGGCACTACATGGCACAGCCCAGTATGGCGCAGCATGGCACAGGGCCCCGGAATACAGCCCAGCACATCCTTGTGTCCCCCAGCACCAGGCAGACCCCTCTGCCCATTCCCCTGTACCCCGTGGCACAGTCCAGACCCCCCCCTGCACAGCCTGGCACAGCCCCCCGGCCTCCTGTGCCTGACACCGTCCCCTCGTCCCGTGTCCCCCAGGGACAACGTGCTGGTCCTGGACATCTTCTTCGAGGCTCTGAACTACGAGATGATCGAGCAGAAGAAGGCGTACGAGGTGGCAGGGCTGCTGGGTGAGGGCCGGCGGGGGCCGGGGGAGGGCCGGGGGGCCGGAGGGGCTCCGAGGGGCGTGTTCTCTGTGACACCGCCTCCCGCCCAGGTGACATCGGGGGGCAGATGGGGCTCTTCATCGGCGCCAGCCTCCTCACCATCCTGGAGATCTTCGATTACCTGTACGAGGTGAGGCCCCCCGACGCCCTCCACACCCCCTCCGCTCAGGGGTCTCGGGGGCTCTGACCTGCGCCCTCCCAGGTGTTCCGGGACAAACTCCTGAGCCTGTACAAGGAGAAGAAGCGGAGCCCCCGGAGCGACAGCGGCACCCTGGTAACCCCCCGCGCCCCCCGCCCCCAGCCCCCGCCCGGGGGGTCGCACCTCATCCCCCTTCCCCGGCTCACCGCTCTCTCGTCCCTCCGTGCGCCCATCCAGGAGCACCCGGCGGTCCCGGGCAGCCCCGCGGCCCCGCGCCCACCCAGGTACACGCGGGGGGGCACCCGAAGCCCCCCGGGGCCGGGGGGCCATTCCCTGCAGAACTCCCATTCTCTGCGGACCCCCCCCCATTCCCTGCAGATCCCCCCATTCCCCACAGACTCCCCTCATCCCCCTACAGACCCCTCATCCCCTGCAGATCCCCCCATCCCGCGTGGACCCCTGCGTTCCCTGCGGATCCCTGATTCCCTGCCGACACTCCCATTCCCTGCAGACGCCTCATCCCCCGTCCTCATCATGGGCTCCAGCACCCTGTCCCGGGGTCCCCTGTCCCCCCCGGAGCCCCCCGGCCAGGCTGGGACCCCCCAACCTCCCCTCTGGGACGCAGAGGGGCAGAAGGGAGGGGACTGCTTGGGGCCGGGGGTGGGCAGCCTGGCTCCCAAAGCTGGGAGGCTCCCGGGGCATCCCGGGGGGCACAAGGGGTGGGAGCGAGGTGCTGAGCCCCCCCGCTTGGCAGGACACAGGGGGGAGGGGGATGGCGGGTGGAAACCGATCCCACCGGAACCCCCCAGCCCCCCTAACCCTCCGACCCCCCCGCAGAGTGCCCGGCCCCCCCCCCTGCGTGGCCCCGCGCCCCGTCTCGGCGTCGCCCCGAACCTGCTACCTCGTCACCCGGCTCTAGGGCCCCCCCGGGACCCGCCGCGGAGCCCAGCCCGCCCCCCCGCCGGCCGGGGGGCTGGGGGGGCACCCCCGGGCCACGGGGCAGCCTCCTGGTCCCCCCCACCCCCTGAGGGGGTGTCGGGGGGCTGGGGGCAAGGGGCCCCCCCAGCCCCGCTCCCGTGACCCTGCATGCGCTGCCTGTGCCCCCCCCGCGCTGGACATGGACCCCCCCCTTGCAGCCCCCCAAATAAAAGAGGTGCCCCAGGCCCCGGCTCCGGGCTGCTGGGGGGGGTGGGGGGACACGGCTGCTCCAGGAAGGAGAGGGCAGCACTGGGGGGGTCACAGGGGTGGGTTGGGGGGCAGGGGTTGTTGAGAGGGGTGTCCGTCATGTGGCAGAGGGGGGTCCCTGACACCCCAGGAAGGAGAAGGCGGCACTGGGAGGGGGGGGAAAGCTCTTTATGGGGTTCCAATCGCACATCATCCACATACAGCAGTGCCCTAGAAAAGAAATGGGGTCCTCCCCCGCCCCCCCCAGGGGGGCTGTATCCAGAACCCCCCCCAGGCAGGGAAGGGGCTGAGGGGAAGCAGGGACAAGAGGGGTGGGGGTCCCACCACCCGCGGGGTCCCCATGCCTGGTCCCAGAGGGTCCTGTCCCTCCACCAGCATCATGGCCCCATGTCCTCGGGGGGCTCTCATGCCCTGGAGGGGTCCCCTGCCCCCAGGGGGGTCCTGTGCCACCGGGGGGGGTCTGAGTGCCCTCAGTCTCCTCCAGGGCCAGGGGGTTTGGGGGCACCATGCCAGCCCCCTGCAGCTGGGGCAGAACCTAATAAATACCGGGGGGGGACGCTGCAGTTTGGGGGGGCTGGCATGGGTTGGCACCCGGCCGAGGGGGGCTGGGGGCCACCCTCCCTGGAAGGGGGAGGGAGCCAGGGCGGGTTGGGGGGCCCTAGGGCGGGCAGAAGTCAGTGAAGTAGGGGTGCTGCAGGGCCTCCTCTGCCGAGATCCGCTGCACCGGGTTGCACTTGAGCAGGTTCTGGGGGACACGGGGGGGCTGAGGGAGGAGAGCACAGACACTCCCCATCCACAGCCCCCCCGTCCCACTGCCCCCCTCAGATGGGTGGGGGGCTGTGAGGGGAGAGGGCAACCAGCCCTGGGGAGCCAGAAGCCCTGTGGCAAGGGCAGGGGGACAGGCAGGGGGGACAGAGGTTGGAGGGGGGTATGGGCGGGGTCTCACCTGCAGCAGGTCCCGGCCGGTCGCGTTCAGCTTGGGCACCACGTTGACCAGGGAGGTGGTGGCCGGGTACATGGGGTAGGGCTGGGGACACACAGGTGACCCACGGCCCCCCCGGCACCCCCTCCAGCTCCCCCCGGCCCCCTCCTCACCTTGTAGTCCGGCAGCTTGGCCATGGCCGGCCACTGCTCCTCCGTGGGGGTCCCCAGCAGCGTGGGGATGGTCAAGGGCCACCACGGGGGCACCCGGCACCCGACCCCCCCGACCCCCTGCCCAGCCGAGGTGGGTCCCCACGCCCAGGGGTCTCCGTTCCCACAGGGCTCTCCATTCACAAGGCTCCCCATTCCCAGAGGGTTCCCCATTACCAACTGGGGTCCCCATTTCCAAGGGGGATTCCCAGGGGAGGTCCATTCCAGGGGAACCCCATTCCAGAGCTCCCCGTTCCCCCCATTCCCAAGGATATCGGAAGATCCTCTTCAGCTGGTCGTCCACGTCGTTCCCCGGGAAGAGGGGCCGCCCCGCATTGGCCAGTTCTGGGGAGACAGAGGGTGGGTCCCAGGGCTCCTGCAGCCCCCCAGGCCCCCCAGGGCCCCCCAGCAAACCTGCGAAGATGCACCCAGCTGACCACATGTCGATGGAGGTGGAGTAGAGCTTGGCACCGAAGAGGACGTCGGGGGGCCGGTACCACAGAGTGACCACCTGGGAGGGACAGGACCCTCAGATGGGGACAGGGGCACTCAGAGCACGGGGCAGCCAGTGCCCTGAGCCCCCTGAGCCCCCCGAGCCCCCTCACCTCGGCTGAGTAGCAGCGCACGGGGATGCCAAAGGCCCGGGCCAGCCCGAAATCCGCCAGCTTGAGCTCCCCGTTCTGGGGGGGCAGGGGGGTCAGTGTGGGGAGCCCCACCTGTGCCGCCCATACCCCAATGGGGGGTTGTTCTGGTGCCCCCCACACCCCAGGGGAGGCGGTGGCTGCTGCTCCGGCCCCATCGCCCTTTCCCATCACCGGGAACACAGGAGACATGGAGCTGCAGCCACGGTCAGACAGGCTCCAGGTGTGA